ATTTTTGTTCATAGAAACTAATAATTTTGTCTATTCATAACAGAAGGTCTGTTAAGCTAATTACAATCATTTTTATTATGATTGAGAATGTTAAATGTTTTCTTACAAATTAGTCAGCTTTTTTAATATATATATATATATTGTTTATTTAGTAAAACTGTTTTATAAAATAAACTGATTTTACTTTCATCTTGATTCAAACCAAAACACACTTAATTGTTCTAACTTTGATATTGGAGACAAGAAAACAAATGAAAAAAACAAAATTTTTTGTCCCATTTTCTAAATGCTTATTTCTGTTATAACAGGTAAAATTTATTTCCTAATGATATTTCCTAATGATAATTCAACACCAGCTGTCAAATAAGCTATCAGTGCATCTAGATGTAGTGTCTTACACCACTATATCATTTCCTCATTTCAGATTTTCCACATGCTTACAGACCCTTAAGTCATCAGTTTTAATCAAGTAACTAAAGAGAGCAATCTACCATTAAAATTATTAACAAATATTCATAAAAATTACAATTTTTGTGTGATTTAGTTGTCAAACCCTAGTTCAAATTAATAACTACCAGTGTTTCTTGATGGTCTCTATTTACTATATATTTTGCTATTTCCAGAAGAAGAACAAATAAGAAGTTGCTATTTTTTTGTGTGTTTAGATCTGTTCAAAAACATAAGAATAGTAACATTCCACATTTGAAGCAACTATGAAAATATCCTAGGTTTGATAAAAAGTTTGGTCCAGTGTACACAACAGTATAGTATGAGATTCAGCTGGAGCAGTTTTGGTTGAAATACTTTAAAAATAAAATGTTATTTAATATTTTGTATACAGATTATATGCAATTATGTCCAGTCTGCCACCAGTACAGCTATTGGCCTCTCCACATACACTCAACTGACAGTTGATATGTAAGATCTCTTAAACAAACCCCACCAGCCAGTTGACTTTAAATTCATGAAATGCTCCTTTGGCCAGAAGCACATATTAGGTCTTCAAGAAATTAATATTGCTTTTTTTTTAAGATAAAAAATCCGAACAATTATATATCAAAACAAAAC